GTGTGCTCTGTACTGCCTTTGTAAATGATAATCTTGCAGCCAAATTATTATCTTGAATATTATTATTATCATTTTATTGCCAGCAGCCAAGTTATTTACTGAAACAGTAACTCCTCCTAGCACTATTAGCTTTCTTATGATCCAGTGCTCACTTTATTACACAGTATAACAGGCATTAAACATCTTGGGATTTATGCCAATTACAGACAATATAGATATTTATTTTGGTAGTCAAAAAGTAATGAATTGGTGTGAAGACTATTTGGAGTTTTTCCAAAATTTGCAATCCTGAAGTTCCGATCCAAACCACAACCAAACCCGTTGCCGTCAAGTCCATCCTAACTCATGGCGACCCTCTAGGACAGAGTAGAACTGCCCCATAGGATTTCCAAGGATTGGCTGGTGGATTTGAGCTGCCAGCTTCTTGCTTAGAAGCCTGAGCTCTTAACGAGTGTGCCACCAGAGCTCCGATACTTAGATTAAAATATATTGTATCAGACAGCACTGGGAGTCATGGGGGAGGGGCATAGGTCTTGCCATTCCTTCTGGAAGTTTACCTTTGTGTGTTCTGCCTCTGGTATTACGCAAACAAAAACATTAAGCTGAGAACAGCTAAAAGCTTTTTTTAAAAAAATTATTCCTGCTGACTTTTATGGGAAAGTTGCATTTCCCACAGAGAGAACAGTAAAAGGTGTAAGAATTTTCTTCACTCAAAGTTTCCAAAGCATGAACGTGCAAAAGGATACCCGTGGGGGTGTGGGGCCCAGAGTGACTTGCGACCCCCTCCTAATATAACACCCCTCCCTCCCCAGCATTCCCAATGCCGCCAGATGCCCCAGGGGAAAAGTAGGTGTACCTGCCCCAAATGTCATAGAATCTGAATCATGATGGTGCATGAAATCAGTCATATACATTTCGAAACCTCAATGCTTCTGTTAATTCTACCACAGTAATAACCACAAGATTTTCAGGGACCAAGAAAAAGACCATGAGCGCCATCTGGCGGCGAGATCCGATGTGCCCTTAGCCACATTCTCTGAATATGCCCCTTCCCATCATTTTTTATACTGTGCCTAGGACATGATACGATAATGAACAAGGATGCTTGTATTTCCTCTTAATACCAGTCTCATTGGTGATTAAGTGAGCCTAGAGCAGGCTTACAAATGTACACATAAATATTACCAATCTACCTTCCCCGAGAGAGAAAAGAGAAGATGAAGTTAAAACACAGTGTGGGTAGTGAGGTGAGGTGAGAATCACAATACCTATGTGTCGTGTGCCAGGCATGGTTCTAAGCACCTTTAAATATATTGACTTATTGAAATCCTTTTTACCAACTATGAGATTAAAAAGGAACCCTGGCAGCACAACAGGAGCCCTGGTGGTGCAGTGGTTAAGGCACTCAGCTACTAACCAAAAGGTCAGAAGTTCGAACTCACCAGCCACTCCACAGGAGAAAGATGTGGCATCTGCTTCTGTAAAGAGTCACAGACTTGGAAACCCTACGGAGCAGTTCTACTCTGCTCTGTAGGGTGGCTATGCGTCCGAATCAACTTGATGGCAATGGGTTCGTTTTTTTGTTTTTTTGGTAGCACAGTGGTTAAGCACTCAGCTGTTAACCAAAAGGTTGTTGGTTCGAATCTATCCAGCAGCTCTGCTGGAGAGAGATGATATGTTCCCATAAAGATTACCGCCTAGAAAACCCTATAGGGCAGTTCTGCTCTGTCACATGGGGTTGCTATGAGTCGGAACCGACTGAACGACACACATCAACCCAACAACGTGAAATTAAAAGAGGGGGATGTGAGGGATTGGTGGTTCAGTGGAAGAATTCCCGCCTTCCATGCAGGAGACCTAGGTTCAGTTCCCACCCAGCTAACCTCCTGCGCAGCCACCACATGTCTGTCATTGGAAGCTTGCGTGTGGCTCTGATGCTGAACAGGTTTCAGCTGAGCCTTCCATACTGAGATGAACTAGAAAGAAAGGCTTGGTTATCTACTTTTGAAAATCAGCTGGTGAAAACTCTGTGGATCACAACAGTCTAATCAACAACTCATCATGGGGGTGGTACAGGGCCAGGCAGCATTTTGCTCCATTTGCGCATCGGGTCGCCATGAGCTGGGGGCAGACTCAACAGCAGCTAACAACAGCACCATTACCCTGTTTACAGGTAGAGAAAATGAGACAGAAGTTGGTGTCTTCCCTACGTTCTCACAGCCTGTCAGTGGCAGAGACAGAATCTGAAGGGCAGCATTGTGGCTCCCGAGTCTGTGCTGTGCTTTACGGCCTGCAGTTATTCATGCTGTTTCCCAGAGCCTTGCGGTCAGTTGGAAAGAACTGGAACGAGCCACCTGAAGACTAGATTTGAATATTGCCTCCACCTCTGACTAGCCAGTGAGCCTGAACAGGTGGCTGCACCTTTCTGAGTCTCATTTTGCTCACTTGCAAAATAGGAACGTTAATGTTTGCCTTTGGGGATACTGCAAGGATCTGTTGAAGAAATAGCATCTGTGAGTGGGCTTTGTAAGCTCTGGAGTGTTCTGTGAAATATGTTGTTGTTGTTGGTTGCTGAGGAGTCGATTTGAACTCATAGAGACCCCATGTGACAGAGTAGAACTGCCCCATAGGGTTTTCTAGGCTGTAATCTTTACAGAAGTAGATCGCCAGAGCTGCTAAGTGGGTTCAAACGGCCAAGCTTTTGGTTAGTAGCCAAGCGCTTAACTGTTGTGCCACTAGGGATCCTTCTATGAGATATAAACTATTGTTATGATCATCAACCAGTTTTAAAAAAAAAAAAAAAACAGTTGCCATTGAATAGACTCCAGCTCATGGCAACCCCGTGTGTGTCAAAGTAGAACTGTGGTCCATAGCGTTTTCAGTGGGTGATTTTTCAGAAGTAGATCCCCAGGCCTTTCTTCTGAGGCACCTCTGGGTGAACTTGAACCTCCAGCCTTTTGGTTAGCAGCTGAATTAATGTTATAGTCTGTTCCCCTCTCTTGAACTTTGCTCTGTCTCAAGTCAGTGCTGGATGATCTGAACCAACAGCTGAAATGAGAGTCCAAAGGCTGTCGGACGCACATTAAGGAATCAGGTATCCCCAGTGGCAGCTGGGCCTGAGTGCCTTTGTGGGCACAAAGATAAGGGTCATGTTTTGATTATATATCACGTGGTAGTCACTGAAGGAACAGGTTTCTATCTCTTCTACTAGTTCAAACTCAAAAGTTTGTTTCCCCAACAACCCAATCAAAGATCAATCATTGGAACCTTTCTGTCCAACTTTGAAGAAGCACTGGTGTCTCTTGCAGACCTGGGCCGGCCCCCTCTGACTGTGTGTTGCCTCCTCCTACAGATCAGTGCCCTACAGAAAGGCTACAGCCAGGTGCTATGCCAGACCCTGTCCGAGCGGAACTCAGAAATCAAATCCCTGAAGAACGAGGGTGAGAACTTAAGGAGGGACAATGCCATCACCTCAGGTGAGCTCTTTCCAGAGTTGGGACTGAGAGCTGCCATCCCCCTAAGGTTTGCGGCCATGGCAGACATCACCAATCAACCACCACACTTCTTCTCATTGATCTGGGACGCAGCCTCAGAGTTCTTCTCAGCAGTTCTTTAGGTAGTTACTATCGGAGAAATTAGAGTTCGCCCTCAAGAGAGGCTTATTTGAAGTCCAGCTCCTAACACAGGGCCTGGCTCAAAGTTAACACTCAGTAGATGTTGGAACAAATGCTATCTCTTAGCTAGGCGGTCTATCTGAGAACTTGCATCACCAGGAAGAATACCGGCAATTCTATAAGCCAGTTTGATATGAATATAAACTATTGTGGACAAAACGAGGTCACCACTTTAAGGCACCCATCATCTCACCTATTTTACCCTCCTTCCCCTGGGCCTAAGTGAAAATGTTCCTCTAACTGACCCACAGAGGCTGTTTGATACTAGAATACTTGGGTGTGGAGATGGCCAGCCAACTCATGGTCCACTGGTGCCAGGGCACAGCTGTTTCTTCAGAGCCTGAATTCATTCATTCACTCAACACAATTATTGAGCAAGTACTAGGTGCCAGGCACTGTTCGAGGCTCTAGGGACGGAGCCCGATCAAAACAGTCAAAATCCCTGTGTCATAGGTCTTCCACTGGGGAGAAGGTGACAGAAAATGTAAATAGATAAATAAACAAGCTAATTTCAGGGAGTGATAGGTGCTATGAAAATAAAACTGGGCTGTGTGCGAGTGAAGTGCTTGAGACAATGAAGAGAAGGGAGAATAACTTAGTGGGTGGGCCAGGGTGAGGTCTTTGAGGAGGTAATAGGAAGAAGCCAGTTGAGGGGCCCCAGAATGGTGTTCCCAGCAAAGAGCACCAGTGCAAAGGCCCTGAGGCTGGAACACGGTGACTTTGGCTGGAGTTAGGTGAACAGGGTGCATGGAATCTGGTGGTCAGAGAGGGAGGCAGGGCCCGGTCACTGAGAGGGGTTTGGGTATTATTCTAAGTGTGATGGGAAGCCGTTGGGGTTTTTTAAGCAGAAAATGACACGTCTGAGACCTGAAGAGGATGATACCATCAATGGAGAAAGAAGAAAAAGAGGGAGGCAGGTGACTGGGGGGAAGGTAATGAGGCTGTTGGGGGCATACTGCTCTTAAAGTACCCACATAAGTAGCAGGACTTGTGTCCATGGCTGTAAAAGTCAAACAGAGCATTGAGCTAAACACGAAGCTCCAGTGGTCTCCATATGAATCCATGTGCTGTGCCCCAGGCCGGCCTGACCACTGGCTTTTCCTCTGCCTCACTCTACAGTTTCCCCTTCCAGGCTTCTCCTTAACTTGGAAGGTTCTTGAATATCTGTTGAGCATCTCCTATGGGCCAGCTAGGCATTGCTCTAGGCACCAGGAATATAGGGATGAACAGGACTCCCCTGGCCCCTGCCTTCCTCCCCTCCGTCTGCCTGTCAAATCCCATCCATACCTCGAGCCTTCTTAAATGCCACCTTCTGTAATCAGGGAGTCTGACAGACCTGGGTTTGGGTGTCACTTGGGATGTGCTCAAGTGTGACCCCCAGATCAGCGCATCTGCATTACCTGGGTCCTTGTCAGAAACACAGTTTCAGGCTCCAACCCAAACCTCCTGAATCAGAATCCGCACTTTAACAAGATCCCCAGGTGTTTCGCATGCACACTCAAGTTTGAGAAGCACTGGGCTGGGTTATGCTGCTATAACGAACAATCCCCAAATCTCAGTGGTTTACAATAGCATGGGTGTATTTCCTGCTACCACATTGTGTCCATCATGGGTCAGTAGGAGCTTTGTTCACTGTAGCCACTCAGGGACCCAGGGCAACACTAACCTCCATGATGAGAGAGGCAGGGAAAACAGACAGAGCAGATGGAGAAACGGGGACTGGATTTACAACTAAAAAACCAGAAAAATAGATGAAACAATGGTTTTCATATATTGGACACCAAGTAGTACGTGACGGTGATCCCAGCAGGAGGAGAAACAAACAAGGAGGACAATTGCTCTGTCTAACTGCCCGGAGAGTTCCCAGACCACAGTCCAGAGGGGAAACCCAGGCAGAGTCCATGGTCTCCCTGAGTTGAGGAGATGGGAGTCGGGGAGGCCAACACGCTTGAATTTGCTGGGCAGAGTACCAGAGAAGAGAGGGATGCACAGAGAGAGTGAGCTCTGGAAATCTACAAAGGATCCACCTCAGGTCTTCAGCTGAGTACTGATCAGCACATACATGTGGGCGGGAAAAGAACCACCCAGAGGAGCAGAGGGAACAATCTCAAAGCTTACCCAGGGCCAAGAATACTTTACTTTCTCAACACCCAGAATGGAGTAACTTCCTAAAACATGGGCATCTGGTGGAGTACTCAAAAAGGTGTTGCTTCAGCAATGAGGCCAAATTAGCTCCATACTAAAGGCTGCTCTGGAGTCCCTGGATGGGGCAAACGGTTAACACACTCAGATACTAACCAAAAGATTGGCGCTTTGTGTCCACTTCAGAAGAAAGGCCTGGCTATCTACTTCCAAAAACTCAGCCATTGAAAACCATATGGAACACAGTTCTACTCTGGCACACATGGGGGTGTCATGAGTCAAAATCAACTCGACTGCAATTGGAAACGCTGCTCTGGTCCCACCGTACAAAGCTGAAGAAAAGCCTCAAAGAGATCAAACTGTTTCCTAGTAACTTAACTGTGTCCCAGAACAAAGCTCATTTAAAAAATGAAATTCTGGATCATGTTGTTCTTCAATTTACATACCTTCTTGATTAATACGTATCAGTTAAACTGGGCCTAATGTTCTGGTGGCGTTGTGTAACCAAAAGGTTGACAGTTCGAATCCAACAGGCGCTTCTTGGAAACCCTGTGGGGCAGTTCTGCTCAGTCCTTTAGGGTTGCTATGAGTCAGAATCAACTCAATGGCAACAGGTCGGGGAGTAATGTTCTTCCAAGAAAAGAATTGTATGATAATGCAATACCACTACATTTACGGATCCTTCTTTCCCACTTTCCTTCAATATGCTAATATAATAATGCGATAATTATCTATTGCTACATAACAAATTATCCCAAAACTTAGTAGCTTAAAACAATTAACACAGTATATCAACCAGTTTCTGTGGGTCAGGAATTTGGGAGGGATTTAGCTGGATGGTTCTGGCTTGGGGCCTCTCATGAAGTGTAGTCAAGATGTTGGCTGGATGTTTCAGTCATCTAAAGCCTTGATGAGGGCTGTTGTTGCTAGGTGCTGTCAGGTTGGTTCCAACTCATAGCTACACTGTGTACAACAGAATGAAGCACTGTCTGGTCCTGTGCCGTGCTCACAATCGCTGCTATGCTTGAGCCCATTGTTGCAGCCACTGTATCAATCCATCTCATTGAGGATCTTTCTCTTTTTCGCTGTCTACTTTACCAAGCATAATATCCTTCTCCAGGGACTGGTCCCTCCTGATAACATGTCCAAAATCTGTGAGACAAAGTCTACCCATCCTTGCTTTCAAGGAGCATTCTGGCTGTACTTCTTCGAAGACAGGGCTAGAAGGTTCATTTTTGGGATAGCTTATTTATATGGCTATTGGCTGGAGAACTCAGTTCCTTACTAACTGTTGACACCCAGTTCCTCACCAGAATCTGCACTATAACAAGATTCCCAGGTGTTTTGTGTGCACATTCAAGTTTGAGAAGCACTAGACTGGTTTATGCTGCTATAACAAATAATCCCCAAATCACAGTGGCTTACAATAGCACAGGCATATTTCCTCTCCATAGGGCTGCTTGAGTGTCCTCACAGTATGGCAGCTGATTTCCCCTTTGAGTGAATGTTCCATGGGAGAGCAAAGAGGAGCTACACTGTCTTTTATAACCTAGCCTTGAAAGTCACACTCTGTTGCTTCTGCAATATTTTGTGGGTTACATAGGTCAGCTATAGGAGATAGGGATCACTGGGACCGTTTTGGAAGCTGGCTATCACAAGTAATAACAGGTAACACATAACACACAATATGTGCTAGTCACCTTACTATGTTCTTTATATATAACATCTATTTAACCCTATGGGGTAGATACAATGGAAGGTCGAGTAACTTGCCTGAGACCACTGAGCTAATAACTGGTAGAGACTTGGATGGGTATGACTCAATCCACCCCATCGACAGCCTCCAACATGCCCTCTTCTGCCGCAAGCCCATCTCTTGACCTGTGGAGGAGAACTGGCCTTCTGTCTACTGGGCCTTTGTTCCCCAGGCCCATGAAGCTGCTTCTCCTCTTAGTTCAGCAGGGCCTGTGCCCACTGTTGAATTCAAATAACAAGACATGGTTGGAGTCCTTTAAACAAAATGTTTATTAGGTGGGAAAAAAAATGTTTATTAGGTGGCTAATCTGTTAGCAGGGAGTCTTCCACCTAATTTTGACACAAAACTCTCCGTTTAGAAGGGGAGAAGAGGTTTTATAGGCAGTAAATAACAAAGAAATTTTAAGTGATTACGCGAACAAAAGACTTAATTGGTTAAGTGAGAAGTCTATAATTTTGAGGAAGGGATTAGAAAATTAAGGAAAGGAAATCCATTGGTCATTTTGAAGAATTCTCTTCTCTGGTTGGTCTGACTTTGATTAACTGAGGAGGAGGGGGCCGTAAATGACAAGATGATATAAACTAGACCCCTTGAGTTTCAATTAGTGTCTTTTAAAGTTTATGGGTATTTTATCTGTTATGATGAGCCTTAATTTATTGAAGACACTTAGTGTAAACTTTGGTCCTTCTTGGAAAAATAGCCCTGGGGGATGCCTGAGGCTATCTAGAGGTCAAATTGAGGACAGAGACAGGAAAGTTCTGAAGACTTTTCCTGTCCCTGGCAACTCTCATTGACTTGTCCCACTGAAACTTTCAACACACGATGTTCAGTGGATGTGGTCTCATCCCCCCTGTGGCTTCTGGGGCCCTTGAGGACAACCTCCTCCACACCAGGCAGAGCACTAGGCCTGGCCCGGGTTGGAAGGAGCTCATCACTGGTTGGCTGGCAGATGGCGGTGATGGCGGTAATCCTTATTGCTCTTTGACCTCTATGTGTCTTTTTCTACAGGGAAGGTGTCATCTTTGCAAAAAGACATGTTAGCAAAGAATGAGCAAATCCAACAACTAAAACAGGAAGTGGATCAACTGAAAAGTCAGAACAAAGAAAAGGATCACCAGCTTGAAGCTCTAAATGCCAGGGTGAGTGTCAGCATCTCCATCATCTTATGGGAGCTGCCGGGTGAAAAGTAAATAGTAAAGTGGGGTCTTTTATCTGGGACCCTGATTTTAAAAGTTCCTCCCTCCTCTCACACCGTTTGTGAAATAAGCCCAGTGCCCAAGGGCAGAAGGAAGATAGTTCCTGGGTGGGGCCAAAAAATGAAATGGGACCTGGAAAGACAGAAAGCAGGTAGCCAACTTCTGTGTAGCGTTTCAATGCACAGTGTGTATGTGGCTCAGAATAAGCAAGATGTAGATTCAAATCGGGGTGCAGTGGTTGTTCAGTGCTAGAATTCTCACCTTCCATGTGGGAGACTCAGGTTTGCAACTCGAGGATGAGGATGAGGCAGCATTCCATTCCGTTGTGCAAGGCGTCCCCATAAGTCTGGGGCCGACTCTAACAGCAGCTCACAACAGACTCAAATCCAGCAAACATCTTCTAACCCCTAGTATAAATCAGTGTATTCAATCTCAGCAACAAACACATCTATGACCATGTATTACCACTGCAAGACTTATCATTAAAACAGAATAGCATCTCACGGTGGGCAAGTAGAACCCGTCCTCACCACTGTCTCCCAGTCACCGCTAGAATTTCCATAGCCACCTTAAAAGCAGAATGCTTGAATGCCCAGGTGTAGATGGACAGACTTTCACTTCTTCCCATAGACTTTAGTGAGTATAACAATTCCTCTATGTAAAATGAATCTCAAAGGCAAGTTAAGAGCTTTTTAAATGTAATTTTAGCTATTTGCAATTTTTGCCTTCAGTGCTGACTTTAGGATCCTGATCCTATAGGATAAGATTCTTCAGTGTTTGTATGATTTGTCTGTTTTGATCAGTCAAGATAAAACCCAATAGCTTCCATCTCAAGCGGCAACTCAGACATTCATATTGACCACCTGTCATGGATTGAACTGTGCCCCCCCAAAATGTGTGTAACAATTTGGCTAGGCCATGATTCCCAGAATCGTGTGGTTGGCCTCCATTTTGTGATTGTAATTTTATGTTAAAGAGGATTAGACTGGAATTGTAACACCACCGTTACTCAGGTCACGTCCCTGATCCAATGTAAAGGGAGTTTCCCTGGGGTGTGGCCTGTACCACCTTTTATCTCTTGTAAGAGATAAAAGGAAAGGGAAGCAAGCAGAGAATTGGGGACCTCATACCATCAAGAAAGCAACACCGGGAGCAGAGCATGTCTTTTGGACCGGGCTCCCTGCGCAGAGAAGCTCCTAGTCCGGGGGAACACCGAAGAGAAGAAGGCCGACAGAGAGGAAAAGCCTTCCCCTGGAGCTGATGCCCTGAATTTGGACTTTCAGCCTACTTTACTGTAAGGAAATAAACTTCTCTTTGTTAAAACCATCCACTTGTGATATTTCTGTTATAGCAGCACTAGACGACTAAGACACCACCTGACCAAGCAGCTACGTCTGCATGGGTGCTGGATATGGAATAGTTGGACTCACCTTATTATTTACAGATCTTGAAGCTCCAGGAAAATGATAGAAGTAACATCTGACGCTTGTTAACATACCCAGTTTGGAACTGGTGAAAGGCAGAGCACAAGCTCTGGGGTCCAAAGGACCAGGGTCCAGCCCCAGAGCTTTCTTTTATTTGGCCTCAGTTTCCTCATTTGTGAAATGGGGATTTAAAGAAATCAACTTCTGAGAAGTGGGAGACTGATTTTAATTGTGCTCTTCTGCTTCTGCATCTGGTCAGCCCCTTCCCCAAGCCCTCTGCAACCATTCTCCTGAGCAGATTGACTTCCTAGGCACCTGTGATTGCTGTTTTGTGTGGTGTGTGTGTGTATGTGTGTATGTTGAGGAGGGAGATGCTAGGTAGAATAAATACGGAAAATGGTACCCATTTGCTCTTCTACCTTCAGAAGTGCATTTGGGGTTATTTTCATTCCCAGTTCCCCTTCCTCGTTGGCCTTGCCTTGAATAGAGCCCGTCTTCTCTAGCCTGTGCCTGCCGTTAGCGCATGGACTTCTCTTGACCAGCGTATTGCTGCTGTGAACAGTGGAAATGTCTATCTTTTTTTAAAACTACACATGCCATAGGGGTTCATTTTACAAAAATAACTAGAGAATACTGAAAATCAAAATTAAGAAGAGAAGAAAAGCTACCCCAAGAAATTGATGATAATATTTTATTTTCTTCCGGTCTTGTTTCTATATATTTCATAGGAATATACGTATGTGTATGTATAGTGTGTGTGCATAACAAAAGGAATTTATATTATATGCATTTTTTAAATATTACTGTTTTTCCATGTTAAATAAAATATAAAAGCTTATAGCATTGATTTTAAATGCTACATAATATTCTCTTGTGTGCACACAATGTAATAAAGCAGTGCCCTGTTGTTGGACACTTGGGTTGTTTCACTTGTTTTTTTGTTAACCATGCTATGAAGAATCTTGAATCTACAGATTTTCAGATTTCTGCAGTCATTGTCCTTAGGATACATTCCTGAGGTGGAACTTCTGGGTCAGAAAGAATGCATATCTTTATGCTCTTAATGCCTGTTGCCAAACTGCCCTCCAGAAAAACTGTTCCTAGCCATCTAAGATACTCCACTGATGTCACCCCATCTGGAGCAAGGGAGATTGAAGAAAATCAAAGATATAAGAGAACGATTAGTCCGAAGGACTAATGGGCCACGACTACCACAGCCTCCACCAGACTGAGTCCAGCACAACCAGATGGTGCCCAGCTACCACCACCGACTGCCCTGACAGGGATCACAATAGAGGGTCCTGGACAGAGCTGGAGAAAAACGTAGAACAGTATTCTAACTCACAAAAAAAGACCAGACTTACTGGTCTGACAGAGACTGGAGAAACCCTGAGAGTATGGCCCCTGGACACCCTTTTAACTCAGTACTGAAGTCACTCCTGAGGTTCACCCTTCAGCCAAAGATTAGACAGGCCCATAAAACAAAACGAGACTAAATGGGCTCACCAGTCCAGAGGCAAGGACGAGAAGGCAGGAGGGGACAGGGAAGCAGGTAATGGGGAACTAAGGTCGAGAAGGGAGAGTGTTGACATGTCATGGGATCGGCAACCAATGTCACAAAACAGTATGTGTATTAATTGATTAATGAGAAACTAGTTTGTAGACCTTCATCTAAAATACAGTTTAAAAAAAAGAAAGAAAGACTGTTCCCCTTGTGCTCCCACAACCAGGGCAGTTATGTCTTTGAGAAGTAACCTTTATAAAGCACTAAGACCGTCCGAGTTTACCTAGTGACTCCCCTGAAGGCGTCAACACATATCCTTGAAAACCACGCTCTGCTGATCGCAGAAGAGGGAACCCCAATTCCTCAACCCTGAGTATCCCGACGCTACAAAGCTGAATTTTCTTGTGGTTCAGGTTGCTGGCCTTTGAGGAAGAATTTAGTTGCTTTATTCCTCAGAACTCATGAGCGAGATGAACTAGGACCTGCTGCGTCACCTTCATGTCCATTAGACACAAATGACCTTACCTTTCTGACTTTAAGTGTGTGATTGGATTAAACAGCAGGCAGTTCTCTCAGGGGCAAACATGGGGACTTGGAAACCTCAGACAACCCCATGTGACTAAGTTTGGTCTCTTTCTTTGTTGTGCTTTTTCTCTACAGTGCTCAGCACTGAGAGAAGACTTAAAAAAGGAAGAAGCTCAGAAGGAACACAGGGAAGCCCAAGAGAAAGAATTAAAACTCTGCAAAACCGTGAGTTGAACCTCCTCATTTATAGGTGTCCACAGAAAAGCTGGAATTCAACCTTCGGGGTCATCCGTGGAATGCTTGGCTCATTAGAAAGCACAAACCTTTAGAGGTGTTTGTTTATGTAGCCTTATAATTCTTTGATTTGCTGCCTCTAGCTTCAAGGAGGAGATGAGTGGAAAAAAACATACTCTCCCAGGATTCTCTGGACAATTGTCTCTAGCTCCCTTACTGGGTTTCCCTGGGGTTGGGCTGAGGTTGGGGCCAGGATGGAAGCTGGCCAACGGGCCACCACATGCTGCTGGAAGTTCATCTGGTGCCCTGCCCCTGGACCTGTAATACCCACGCTTTTATGTTCCACTGTCACAAGTTTGTCACAGTCACCTGCACAATTATTTTTTCTTTTTTACTTAAAAGAAAGCTTTATTGTGGTCAAATATCTATAACATTAAATTTGCCATTTTAACCATTTTTCAGTGGCATTAATTGCATTCACAGTGTTGTGCAACCATCACCCTTACCTATTTTCAAAACGTTTTCATCATCCCAAACAGAAACTCCATACTCATTACGCTTGTGCTGTTATTGACATAATATACTTATTTTAGTCCATTCATGTATTTTTGTTTCAGTGTTTCAACCTTATACCAATTCTTACAAACAACAAAAAAATAAAAGGTTTCACATTTGCCTAATATAGAAGGCAACTGTAAAAATAAATACAATGTAAATATGATCATTGGAATTAAAATGTTGATTCCCTACGCCCCAACCCTCCTGTACACCCCTAGATGTACACATCCCTTCTTTGGGAAGCACAGTGCCCTAGGCATGAGCTGGGGGGAGGAGGCATGCTCTGTTCCTTGTCAGCAACTCTCCTATTCTCTGCCTTAAATGGGGTGGGGGGAGACTATCAGTTCATTGTTCTATTTTTCCAGACTGTGCCCATTGTGTCTTCCAAACAGTTTGCCCTTATTTATATTGATCTCAAAAATATACCCCAAGAATAAGGATTCCAATGAGTTGATGTTCATCTTGTGTTTAATCTAGGATCCGTGCTAATTTTCAAAGGAAACTAATTATTTTCCTTTAACCAGCACTTTCAATAATCAATTGAAAAAGTCTGCTTGGCCTTAAAGATGTAAAATTTTCCCCAAGAGAAGGAATTAAATAAGCTAATACCAGACTAAAGAGCCCTGGTGGTGCAAAGGTTAAGAGCTCAGCTGCTAACCAAAAGGTTGATGGTGGGAACCCACCAAGGGAAAAAGACCTATCGATCTGCTTCCGTAAAGATTACTGCCTAGAAAACCCTATGGGGCTGTTCTACTCTGTCACATGGGGTCGCTATGAGTTGAGTCAACTCAGTGGCACACAACAGCAATACCAGACAAGGTTCTACCTTAATGAACCCGATCAAATGGGTTCTAAGGTTTCAGGCCTCTCATCCTAGCTCCTGCTTCTCCTTAGGAAAGTTGACTTGTATGTTGTTGAAACTCTTTCAGCAAATCCAAGACATGGAGAAAGAAATGAGGAAACTCAAGGAGGAGTTGAGGAAGAGTTGCACTGAACATAACATGATTTCCAAGACGCTGCGAGAAAAGAGCAAGGTACGGCCGGGACTATGAGTTGGAACCGACTCAACAACACCTAACAACAACAACACAGCCAGGAGAACCTTGGCCCACTGACCGCTCTGGGCCAGGTGCTTCACACGGATCATATCCATCAATCCTCACAATGACCCTGGGTGGTCCTTTCTGTTATTAACCTCACTTTACAGCTGAGAAAACTGAGGCTCACAGAGGCAAAGGAAGTTATCCAAGTTCACTCTGATAAAATAGGTGTGGCAGAACTTGAACCCAGGCCTGTCTGACTCCACAGCTCCCATGTGTAACCACTCACTGCTCTAGACTGCCTTCAAGAAACTGTCCCTTTTTTTTTTATGAAACTTCCTTACCTCCAGACCCCAATGGGCATGGTGTTGCCAAATTATTTTTATGCTTCCTCTCGTCATGGGAAAGCGCTTACAGTTGCAAACTCTTCACCTGCATTATCTATCCATCACAGTAGCCTCTAGTCATGTGTGCTATTTAAATTGAAATTGAGTAAAAGTAAATAAAATTTAAAATTCATTTCCTCACTTGCACTAACCACATTCCAAGTGCTCAGTAGGTACATGTGGCCCGTGGTTACTCTATTGGAGTGTGCAACTGTAAAACATTTCCATTATTCTAGAAAGTTCTACTGATCCAAACCAAAGCTGAGTGACCTCTTTAGGCAATATGGCCAACTGAGGAGATATAAAATATGTTTATGGATCACATTTTCTAAAAACTTAAACTGAAAATATCTTTAAGGGTCCTGAAGGTTGTGGGAAGAATCTGCATTCTTTCAATTTGGATCCTTTACTTTATTGATAAGAAGACTGTCATCATTGAGAAAACTGAGACTATTTTAAGGTCAAACCTAGATGACAGAGGAAGCCTATCTGAGGGGGAATTGTTCATTGACGACCTGAGAAATAAAGGCAAATGACCCAGTGTGTTCTCTAACGTTTAACTGATATGACTAGTAGAATAATTACCAGAAGCTAAAATTTACCATTAAAACCTCACAAGCTAACATTTGTAGTAGATAAGAAACTGCCCAGAAATTCACATCTTATTGATAATGACTACAAAAGTTGACCAAACATAAGTAGACTTGGCAGAAATAGTTAAAATTAACACAACAGCTAAAACTACACAGAGTAAAATTTGTTACTGAGTAAAACTTGAGAGAATAATAAAATATTCTTGAAAAATTTAGACGTGCAGAATATAATCTGGGGAAAAAGGGACTCAGTAGAAACAAGAGCCACAAAATAAAACACACAATGACAGAGGTATGATTGACAAAAACTTGACATGTACCAGAAAAACTTATAGGTGAATCAAATCTTAATTGTTGATCCAGAGAAACATAATCTCAGTTAAGAATAAAAGTGAAAATGGAAACATTTGAATATCTCTCAAACCATTGGCTTAATAAACTTTACTCTGGAAAATACTTTCTCAATGAAAATGAATTTAGGTTGGTATATTTTTAATTAAAATTGTTGTAGTCATTTACATGGACTCAGACTGCTCTCTGAGCTATACATTTTCCTCTAAACAAGGCTTTAGCTGCAATCCTCTAGTTTTAGTATGTAGTATTTTCATTATTATTCAGATGAAAATATTTTCCAAATCCCATTGTGACATTCTTTGATCCATGGGCTATTTAAAAGTGATTTCCTAATTTCTAAATATATGGCAATTTTCAGGTTACCTTTTTGTTGGTGTTTCTAGCTTAACTGCATTGTGGTCAGAGAACATCCTCTGTGTGATTTCAATTTATTGACATTAGTTGAGACTTCCTTTATAATTCTGCATGTGGTCAAATTTGGAACATGTTCCATGGGTGCACTTAAAAAGAACGTATATTGCAGTAGTTGGGTGCAGTATTCCATGTATGTCCATTAGATCAATTTTGCCAATAATGTTGTTTAAAACTTAAATGTTTGTAATGATTTTTTGTCTGTGTGTTTTATCAGACATTAAGAGAGGTGTTTTTTTTAATCCCATTATGGTTGTAGATTTGTGTATGTCTTCTTTTGGTATTGTCAGTTGTTGCTTTATATAACTTGAGACTATGTTACTAGGTACATATAAATTTATATATAATGTAGTTGCTAATATATTGGGATTTAAATTTACCTTCTGGCTCAGTGCTAGCTGTACCACCTGTACTATGTTACTTTTTCTTTCCTTTCTTGCTTTATTTTGAGTTGATGGTTTTCTATCATTCTATTTATTTCTGTATTAGCTTGGAAATTTCTTCACTCTTTTACCATTCTTTTGAAGACTATTCTAAAGACTATAACATGCATTCTTGATGTACCAAAATCCAGTGTTAATTGATAATTATGCCCTTCTCCTTGACAATGCAATGACCTTAGAACACTTCAACTTCATTTATCCTTTCTCTGGACTTATATACCATTGATGTTATTTTCTAAATGTCTCTCTATACTTAAAACCCCAAAAGACACTATTAGTATTTTTATGTGGTCAATATTCATTTGTATTTATCCACATATTATCCTTTCTGCTGCTTGTCTCTTCTGTACCTTTGATTAACTATTTTTCATAACATTTTTCTTCTACCTGAAGAACACTCTTTCGTGTTTTTCTTCAATGTGGCTCTACTGATAAAAAATTCTCAGATATGTATGTATTGTGTAATTACCTTCCGTTTTATGTGTTGTAAATTCTAAACCTTTATATGTTAATGAGGCAGGATTAGGGTAGGGTGAATCTTGAGTCACAGCCTTACTAAAGGACATGACTCAAGTCACCGTCCTTACTCAATCACGTCCGTCACCGCCTTATCTGATATAAGGGAGTTTCCTTGAGGGTATGGCCTGCACCCAGTGTGTATGGATACTCTGACAAAGCTCTCCCTTGCTCTGGATTGTGCATCTGGCTCATCATCATCTGACCCCCATTTCTTGGAACTTGAGTCAGCAGCCTGTTGTCTGACCTGCTGTTTCTAGGATTTGCCAGCTCCTGCAACCACGTGAGTAAGGAGATGCCTCCAGCTGACACCTGACCCATAGATTTAGGGCTTGCCAGCCTCCACAATCAAGTGAGCCATTTCCTTGAGCTAAATCTTTATTTATATACATATATATATACACATATGTGTATACATCTATATATATATATACATATACACATATACTTACATTGGTTTTGCTTCTCTGAAGAACCCAGCCTGAGACATTTAGTACCAAGAGTGGTTCTAGAGAAACAAAATCATAAGAATGAGTTTTCTAAATTGGTTCTCAAGTCTGGCTAGTCTTAAAGGCATTGATGACCCTGCCTCCAGTAGTAAAGAGGGCACTGCTAACCTATAGTGTGAGATGGCATTAGAAACAAGCAAAATATCACTGCCGATAGATCAAATATTTGTGAGAAACAAGGCTCCAGATAATTGCATGTTGGATATTTTTCTACTATTTTGTCAGAATGAGAAGTATAAAGAAGCTGGTTGGTTGGTCCTACTTTCACTAGACAAAGTGGTGAAAGAAAGAGATGAGCTCAGGGCTCCAGAGTCACAGCTCAACCGTCACATAAAACACCTGAAAGTAGACAATTGTGTCCTGAAGGAAGGCTGTTTCTTGTCGTAACAGAGCTGATCTTGCCGAAAATCAAACCCAGAGTCTTATCATAAGAGTGGCTGAATTGCAATGCCATTGGGAATTCAAATGAATTCCCAACCTCGAGTGGTATCTGAAGTTAAAGTGAGGGCATTGATTGAAAACAAATGGGAAACTTGGGAGGGGGACATATGGACAGATAATCAGGAAGTTGGGGACACCAAACCCATATATTCCACTGAATCATTCCTGCCAACAGCACCATCCCTCTTATCTGAAGAGATTATTCCATCTTTGTCTGTTAAGCCACCCTTCCCAAGAAAACCATTATCTCTCCCATCCCCATTTGACGTGATTGATCCAGCTGAGCATGAAACTGAGGTGTCACCTGGGGCAGTGCATAGAGCATTGCCTGGGGCATCGCTTGAGACAGGTACCTTACAAGACATTGCTGAATGTTCCCAGGACCCATCCTCACCACCCATTTTTGCTTCTAGACCTAAGTCCCAGCAATCCTCAAAAGGTGAAGTACAAAGTGTGACCCAGGAGGAAGCATGGTATACTCCAAAATAACTGCTTGAGTTTTCTAATATATACAAACAGAAACCTGGGGAGTACATGTGGGAATGGCTATTAAGGTTGTGGGATAATGGTGCAAGGAACAGAAGGTTTGATCAGTCTGGGTTTATTGATATGGGCCCACTATGCACAGATCCTTCATCCAGTGTTTCAGCTAGAGAAGTTAGGAAAGGATCTAATTGTTTAGTTCATTGAAGTGTGGATTAAATGGTGGCCTACACTAAATCAAGTTGAAGTACCAGACCTGCCTTGGTATACTGTAGAAGCAGATATCCAAAGGCTTAGGGAACTGGCATGTTAGAGTGGATTTATCAGACTGGACCCACAACCCACCATGGAGTGCCCAGAGGACACAACTTTTACCACAACGGTGAGGAACAAATTTGTGAAAGGAGCCCCAGCATCCTTGAAGACTGCTGTGATTGCTATTTTATGTAACTCAAATTTGACAGTGGGAACTTCCCTAAATGAATTAAGACACCTAACTACAATGGGGCTGATTGGACCCCATGGTGGTAGGGGCCAAGTGGCAACACTTAACTGACAAAGACAAGGTGGGGTGTGGTTATCATAAAGGACAGCAGAGTCAAGTAGTAATCAGAATAGTCTGACTAGTGTGGACTTATGGCATCCACTACTTAATCACGGTGTCCCTAGGAGTGAAATAGACTGGAAAGCTACTAAATATTTACTTGATCTGTACAAGTGGAAGAATTCTTGGTCATTTGAATGGCAGTCTAACTTGAATCACCAGAAAAGAGTCATGGTCCCTCAATCAATTCCCAGACTTGAACCAATTTACAGACCCAAAACCCCTAGAATGAAGGGGAGGCCAGGCCTCTTGAGAAAGGACCCCACTCCCAGTACCAAATGTCTTAAGCTGGGTTCTCTAGAGAAGCAAAACCAGTGAAGCCGTATAAAGATTTATCTCAAGGAAACGGCTCACACGGTTGTAGAAGCTGGCAAATCCCAAATCTGTGGGTCAGGTATTGGCTGGAGGTTTCTCCAGACTTATGTGGTTGCAGGAGCTGGCAAATCCCAGAAACAGCAGGTCAGACGACAGGCGGCTGACTCAAGTTCCAAGAACTGGAGGTCAGATGATGATGAGCTGCATGCAGGATCCAAAGCAAGAGAGAGCTTTGCCAGAGAGTCCATATATATTGGGTGCAGGCCACACCCTCAAGGAAACTTCCTTACATCAAACAAAGAGTGAAGGATGTGACTTGAGTAAGGACGGTGACTTGAGTCATGTCCTTTAGTAAGGCTGTGACTCAAGATTCACCCCACACTAATCCTGCCTCATTTACATATAAAGGTTTAGAATTAGCAACACATAAAATGGAGGATAAGTACACAATACCACAAAATTGAGGACAATTATATCAGGTCACAAAATGGAAGATGATTGCATAATTACCTAACTGCCAAATTATATCATTACATAACTGCCGAACTATTATATAACTGCCAAACCCTGAGAATCATGGCCCAGCCAAGGTGACACACTTTAATTGTCACAGTGTGTGTGTCTGTTAATGTCTATATTTAACCTTCATTCTTGAAACATATTTTGACTGAGTATTGAATTCTACATTGGCATTATTTTCTTTCAGCTCATTATAAATATCGTTAAGTATATCATACCATTGTCTTTTGACTTCCATTGTTTCTGATGAGAAGTCAGCTATACTCTAATGGTTGCACCTTTGTGTAATCTGTCTTTTATCTCTAGCTGCTTTTAAGATTTTCTTTTCCTTTGGCTTTCAGCAGTTTTATTATGATTTATCTAAATGGATTTGCTTTTATCTTGCTTTGGACTCATATAGGCTTCTTGAATCTTTGGCTTGGTTTTTTTCATTGGCTTTGGAGTTCAAGCTATATCCTATGTAGACAGTGGGGAGCTACTGAAGGCTTTTGAACAGAGGACTGATAAGATTAAATTTGTGATTAATAATAATGGTGAAAATGATAGCTACAATTGCTCACATACTCAGCATTATGCCAAACATTTAATCTGTTTTAGTTTCACATTAACCCTACAATCTAGAAATTATCATTCCCACTTTACAGATGAGGACATCAAGGCTCAGAGAGTAAATTAACTAACCCAAAGTCACACAAGGTTAGGAAGTGGTGAAGCCAAATTGGAAGCCAGGTTTGTCTGACTCCAGTGACGTGAAATAGCCACTAGCCACATGTGACTATTTGAACTAAAATTAGTTAAAATGAAATGAAATAGAAAAATCAGTTCCTCAATCACAGTAGCTACATTTCAGCTACTCGATAACCACATGTGGCTAGTGGCTACTATGTTGGACACTGTAGATACAGAACATTTCATCATTACGGAAAGTTCTATTACACAATGCTGCTCTATAGCTTGATAACTCCCATAGTACCATAAAGAATATATTGGAAGGAAATAAATTAGAAGCAAGGAGGCCCGTTATCACAGGCCAGAGGTCCTCAGGGCCTGGCCTAGAATCTTGGCTAGGGTAAGAGCTCCTGAATCTCTGATGACTGCATGCAATGAAAAGGGCCTGCTCTGTGGCTATGATACTGGAAATAGAGTGGAGAAGTAGAGTGGATGTGAGAGAAATAGGACTGATAAGCCTCAGATGTGAGAGATGGAGCCACGGAAGCAGCCAAAGATGATGCTGAGGTTTTGGATTGGGGAATGGAGAGGCCATTCACTGAGATAAGAGTGAAGTCCAGCGTTAGACTTTGCACTTGAAGCCTATGAAAAAGTATGCAGAAGTATAAGTCAGAGCATGACTAAAAGTTGCATGACTTTTTCAGAGTAACGTAAGTTGTTAGAGGTTCTTTCCGCTGTACCACACTATGCAGAAAAACAAGCCCTAGAAGACTCTTCTGGGTTTTTAATTACATCTGTGTGATCCTTCTTCATCCCTAGTAAACAGCTTATGAAGTTGTTTAAACACAAACTTCTTTTATTTAGTAGAGTTTGCCTCATTTCCTGATAGTGTCAGAGCTCTGGGCTCAGCAGGCACTCAATCAGTGTTTATTGGTCAAAAATGAATCCAGCAAACCTGCTGGGCCCACAGCTCATAAGCAAAAACTGGAGGGCCTGTAATGGCCAGCAGAGGGTAGCATCGGACACTCCTAAACTCACCTTGAGTTGACTGTTACCCAAGAATATAAATAAATAGCCAAGTCTCCCCAGTTTAAACACCTTCCTTTGCAGGCTGCAATTCTTTAATATCTGTTTCTTAGCAAGCCTCTCAGAGATGTTTCCATCGGTGAGTGTGCGAATAGTAGTAATGACAAATAGTCATGATAACAAACCCAGTAATAACATTTACCAAGTACCTGCTATGGGCCATTCCTGTGCTGGGTGAGTTACTCATGGTATTAGAACAATGCTACATGGTAGGTATTCCCATCCACATTTTATGAGTTACAATACCTAACATAATGTAAGAGCCCTTACTAAGTGCTAGCACTATACTAAACATTTTTAATTCCTGTGAGAGATTAAATAACTCTGTGAGATAGGTATTATTATCATCATGTCCATTTGACAGTAAGGACACTGAGGCATGGAGCCATGAAGTAACTTTCCCAGGGCCAAGTGGCTTGTTGGGAACCTGAGGTTAGAGAAAAATAGTTGAGCTCAGGGTGCAGAGCTTGGCCCTTTCCCCAGGGGACGGCTCCTTGTGAGCCTGCCTCCACCCCATGCACGCCAGTGACCCCAACACATGGGCTGCAGCTGTCCCTACTCCTCTGGGACGCCCCCATGGCCATTAAACCTCCTAGAGGAATTTCCCCAGAGTGCATTATGATTGCATTAGCAGCAAGCGCGCCCTTTCATCATCATTTCAGGTTGAAGAGAAGCTTCAGGAGGATTCCAGAAGGAAATTGCTTCATCTGCAAGAAATGGGGAACAGAGAGAACCTCATTAAAGTCAATTTGGAAAGGGCAGTAGGTCAGGTAGGCATGCTCCAGAGCCCCTTCATGGGCCCACGTTCCCCCACTGATTTTCTGAGGAGGAAGCCGCCCTGAGGTAGGACGTGATTTCATTCGCCCATTTATCTCATGTGGAGAGGCTTGATGTGGCTTCTGCATCCCAGTGGACATCGCTAAATAGGTTTTTTTCTGCTGGGAAGCTTCCCACCTAATCGTTCACTGTAGCCTAAGACCCTGACCAGGTGGCCAGTCCTGGCTCAATGCCTGCCCCAACTAGCTGGCCATGTCATTCCCTCTTGGGAGAGATTTGAGCTCCTTAACCCCACCGGTGTTTCCAGTCCTTTCTCCCTAACATTTTTAGTGCTGACATTTACCACAAACTTTCTTCCTGTGGGTACCTCAGCACATGTCGCAGTCAGTATCCATAGGAAATGCCACTTTTTAAAAATATAGTAAAGCCCCAGGACAAACAAGTCCGTGATAGACAGAGAAGTTCCTGGAGGCGCTATTTCTCCTCCGATGCTCTGGCCCAGGAGTGGCCCAGTGGTGCTTCCTGTTACACGTGGCACAACCCTGAGGGCCAGACATGCAAATGAGTCTTTACCCAAGGCTAACCCAGAAACGAAGACTGGAGCACAGGAACCTCCAGAATGCAGCCCCCTAAGGGCAGCCCACCTTGGATCTCCTCCACTAGGGCTCTCACTTGGTAATATGGCTCCAGGGGATCCATAGAACAACAGGCGTGTATGTGTGTTTCTGCTTTTATCCTGGGAGTGAGGGTCCTCCATCCACTCATCAGATTTTTGGAAAGGTCTGTGAGCTCCCCGCAACGGTTACAAATACAATCCTGGAAGGGTCCCCTCTATCCCATCCAGCCCGCTCCTAGGGCACTTCCACTCGGTATTGTCCAAACCTTACCCCAGACAATGACCCAGTGACCCAGCTTTGTCCCAGCATGCTAAAATTCAGAGGCACAGACAAGTTAAAGGATGATTTTAACTATTGTGCAGATGTTAAAGCCCCTTCAACAGCTATCCACCACCATCAGGCTCATGCCATTTGTCCTGCAGGTGCCAACCCCTTATCAGAGGCAGACAGCCCACCAGTCTGGGCCTCCCATTGTGCACCTGGGCTATCATCTCACCTTTCCTGCCTTCTGCCTCTCTCCCAACACACACTGATCTGTGGGCATAATCTCTGCTTTGCCCAAGTGCCAAGGTCATGCTATGGCTCTGGGCATAGGGCATCCAGGAGGATCGTGGGGGACTCTGAGATGCCTCCAGGTCTAGACTTGAGAGAAAGGGATGAGCCCTGTCTCTGCCACCTGCCTTATCTCCAAGGTCCTGCTCCCTGTCGGGTCTGTCCTTCCCTGAGCAGGTGATTACGGAACTGAGCTCATCATCCGTGGGATCTTTGATGAGTCATCACAGAGTCATCAACCCACCCCTGACCAGTCATCCCTACAGGGTGGTAATGGGGGACCATCACTCACAAGTCCCCTGTAAAGAACCTCTTCCTTGGATGAGCTAGGACTCTCCCCTTGACCTTGAAACCAGAGGATGACCTCAATTTGGAGTGTCTCGAGTCACCCCAGGCAGCTTCTGCCAGGATAACTGCAGAGCTGTCCTTAGGAGATTCAACATTTCACTCACTTGGTTTTCCAGAACTCCCTGGTGTGCAGTAAACCTCTGGGTCTTGGGGCTCATTGACTTTTACATTGATTCAGTGGCCCTTATGATTCCTTCAAGGCTTTGTTTTAGTTGCTTTAACGACCACATTTTGCCAGTGGATCAACAACCCCAGGTCAAAGGCCGCCATGTTCGTAAATTCCCAGAGAAAGATGAGCTTCTCTGCCTCTGTCTTCTGGATGGAACCCAGGACACTTTAGACTTGTGATTCTCTAAGCCCTGATTTAACTTTAACGTGCTTTTCCATCAGCCTTAATCTGAAAACACCAGCACCTAGGAGACAACTCAATAGTTGAACTGAATTCGAGGACCCTGACTTGAACAGATGTTTCTGGATACAAGCATTCTCAATGACTACATATTGAGTGCCTACTCTATGCCAGGCACTGTACTAGGCTCCAGGGATATAGAAATGAATACAGTCAATAGTCTTCACCCTGCTTATGGTCTAAGGCACAAAATGGCAGAAAGGAGAGCATTCTTCTCTCCCCAGGCACTCTTGCTGATTACACAATTTGCTTGGACTGACAGCCTCAATATTTATTTCACAGTCTGGTGCCAGCCTAGCAATTATGGGAAAGCACTCCTGGCCACAGACTTCCCATTGGATAATTGGCAGCGAGCACCTCTTCTGAGGACTTGAGACATGTGTCTGTACTGACCATCAGTTGGGTTAGGCAGGCAGGCAGGCCTGACAAGTAATTAAGACCTGCTGTTCTCTTTCTTCTGTGGGCACTGCCACTTCCAATGAGAGATAAAGATTTTAATAAGGTGTAATGATTAAAGGCAGGCAGGCCCTTCTAACTGATTTTTCCTGGACCCCCATGATGGAAATGTGGCACCCAGGGTTGTTGGCTCCGGCTGCCCGCCTGACTTTGTTGCCTTCCCTTTGTCTGCAGCTTGAGCATTTCAGAAGCCAAGTTATCAAGGCCACCTACGGACGAACCAAGCCATTCCAGGACAAACTCATCACCGATCAACAGGTTAGTCTGGCTTTCTTGCCATGAGACTCCTTTGCTTTCTTCTTCTGGGATCTGGGATTCCAGACCCTGAGAGCATATGTTTCTGTTTTTGTTGGTGGCACATATTTTTCACACTGTTGCTACACCATAAAAAGTTGTTTTGATTTGATGGGATTTCCTGGCTTTTAAAGCAAAAGCCAGTTAAACTCCCTTGAAATGTTTCTGTGAAAATCAAATTAAACCATTCAGGCTGGTCACCAGACACGCATGTTTAACCTTCACTAAAAGTGAGAAAAGAGGCTGCCTCATAACACTGGATGTGTTCTGGCTTATTCCTTCCCGAGAGGAAAGATGGTAACGAGGATGGACCTCAGGCTGTAACGACTGCATTATCATTCTTCCAACCATTCTTTCCAACTGTGTCACCGCACAGATAAGAAAACACACCATGGCTTACTCTCATTGGGTGTAGTAGAATGTGACCTTCTCTTTATGAGCTCAGTGTTAGGAATTATTGCTACAATGCCAATGGATCTGGGACACTCAGGGCAACAATAGGGGCCTTTGACTCTTAGCCATAATCTCTGAGTCTGGGACATACCTCCTGGTGTCAGGGCCAGTGTCCTCCTTCAGAGCCATCCTCAACGTGTGTCACCTCCTCACCTACTGAGGTGGGGACTTAAGTGTATGATCTCCAGTCCCCTTTCTCCCAGAGCTACCATGTATTCTAAACCCTTTTTTATTTTTTTCTCTTTTTTCTCACCAGTTAATTGAGAAAATTACCCAGGTCACTGAGGACAGCATCACCTTTCAGCAGAAAAAATGGATCCTGCAGAAGGAAACCCAGCTCAACCATTCCAAACAGGAGGAAATCACAGAGAACATAGAGAAGCTGAAAACCTCCCTTGACAGCTGCCAGGTGGCCCCTTCTAAGCTCTTCACAAATGTCTCCTTCATTTGATTTTTGCGCTTCTCGTTTTGGGAAATTGTCCAACTTTCAAAACCAAACCAGTTGCCATTGAGTCAATTCCAACTCATGGCAACCCCATGTGTGCAGAGTAGAGCTGTGCTCCATAGGGTTTTCAATGGCTGTGACCTTTCAGAAGTAGATCACCAGGTATCTGGGTGGGTTCGAACTGCCAGCCTTTCAGTTGGTAGCTGAATGTTTAGTAGATACTACAGTAAAACCTGCAAAAGCCAGAACCTGTGTAAGGTGGAAACTTGTCAGAGAAGGAAAGTTCAAGTAGTTTCCACTAATAGAGAGTGATAGAAAAGTGGTCGAGTACACCCTGTCAAAGGTGGAAAACTTGCAAGACCTGGAAAAACAAGACAGTCTCATAGAGTTCCGAGTCTCTTAGGTTTCACTGTATATAAGAATCAAGTCGCTGGGTGATGTGATCTAAGAAATCAGCTATTGAAAACCCTGTGCAACACAGTTCTACTGTGGCACACATGGGTCACCATGAGTCAGTGCTGATTCAACAGCAATTGGAAAATATATATATATATGAACATCAGGTTGGGCAGACTTCTCTGCTTTTTTATCCATCTTTTTCTGTTATTGGGGAAACTTGTTTGAGAAGAGAAAACAAAAGCCTTCAAAAAATGCCTCCCAGGTGAGCTGGGCATGACCAAGGAAAAGATGTCTGAGTACCTTCAAGTACTAAGTTTGGGAGACCCCGAACCCCAGCAAAAAAAAAAAAAAAAAAAAAGCCCCCATGGTATTTCCAAAGGAACCAACAAAATGTTCCTGCTCTTTATTTTTATTTTTTGGGGTCCAGGAACAGAAAAGATGTTTTTATCCCCGTCACCTTTGACTGTGGAGGAGATAGGACTAGAGGCACACTCACTGCCCCACCCTGGGATCAATGGCGTCACTAGGGTTGGTGTCACCCAGTGCGGTAACTCATGGTGTCAACCCCTCTCCCCTGGCTGGGGTGAGCAGAGCCAGCCAGTGAACCACACCCCTGGTGGGCAGAGCGCTGCGCCCCACCTAATGCAGTTCCCCCATCTCCTCGCCTTTCCAATTGGCCAAGGAGGAGACCCTCTTCTCTACCCAATGGCGGGCACCGTGGCCCAGCCACCCACACGCTGACTGGCAGGTGATGGGGAATGGCTGACACCAACCCTAGTGACTGACAGGTGATGAGGGGGGTGATGAGTTACCACACTGAGTGGCAGGTGACACCAACCCTAGTGACATCACTGCCTTGGCTGCCCCTTTCCTAGAGGTGCCAGCCCACTTGCTGCCACTGCCATAGACCCTAAAGTCATTTTGGTGTCACCCCTTGACAGTGTCAGGGGGTGCGGTCTGCATCCCCCCTCACCTCCCTAGTGACACCACTGGCTGGGATGCCTCTTACCCCAGCAAGCAGCTGCTTCTGCTTTCTCTGGAAATAAGCAGTTGCTGTTGGGAGGAGTTTGTGCAAATGCTGGCTTGTCAGCACTCTTTCAAATCAGGGAAGCAAGCTTTCTGATCAGCTCGTGTGTTGATCTCGGCAGGAATTTTAAAAGAATAGAAGTAGCCAAATGTGGTTCTCATTTCAGCCAGACTGTAGATGACAATACGGCTTTGGAATTGCGTGTACCTAAAAGTGGGGTCACTTTGGCCATCAGAAGTCCAAGTTAGAGTGCACAAAATGAAAAAGCTAGTGAAACAGGAACAGTCCCAGGCAGCCAGCACGTGCGTGCTGCCTGCTTTGTGGCGAAGAATGTTGTTCTCTGCACGTTTCATCAGTGCTATTTCTGGCCACAGAGTCTGGGCTCCTGATAATCTCATCTCGTTTCAGGCTTGCATGATAAAGCCTTGCTGCAGCCATGACCTGAAAAAGGAGGTTGAACTTCTTCAGCACCTTCAGGTGAGCCCACCTGTCTCGGGGCTCCAGAAGGTGGCACTGGACATCCTGAGCCTCCCACTGTCCTGGCTAGAGGAAACAGAGCGGCTTCTCAGCAGCATTGGAATCCAGTTATCCAGCTCTGACAAAGGTTACTGGGGCTTTTCTCTCACGTAGTTGCCTGACGCTAAAATGTCACGTTGAATCTTATCACGAGGGGACATCTGTTGAGGAAGGCTCCTTACGTGGGTGGCCGAGTATGCTTCTCCACTTGAGACGTGATTTTCCTTTAAAAAATACACAAGTTGGAACCGGATCAGGGGAGAAAATGAGACGTGACAAAGGCAAAAGAAAAATTAAATCAAAATCATGCCAGACCCTATCTGTCAGCACTAACTAATATTTTGTGTGTGACTTCCAAGACGTTTTCCCACAGAAATAGCTACATGATTCTAGGCAAGTAATTTACTCTCCCTGTGTCTCAGTTTCCTTACCTGTAAAATGGGGATTATAGGAGTACCCACCTCCTAGATTGGTTGTGAGAATTAGAATGCGTTAATACATGTAGAAAACATTAATATACATCTATTCTGGCACAAAGGAGCCCTGTGGCACCGTGCTTAAGTACTTGGCTGCTAACTGAAAGGTCAGTGGTTCAAACTCACCAGCCTTGAGAAAGTTGTAGCAGTCTGCTTCCATAAAGATTACAACCTTGGAAACCCTACAGGGCAGTTCTACTCTGTCCTCTAGGATAGCTATGAGTCAGAATCAACTCGATGGCAAGAGGTTTTCATACTGTTTGAAAGTCTCTGGGAGGTTCAAATGGTTAATGCTTTTGGCTACTAACCAAAAGGTTGGAGGTTCAAACCCACCAGCAGAAAAGACTTGGCAACCTGCTTCCGTAAAGATTACAGCCTAGGAAACCATATGGGGCAGTTCTACTCTTTCCTGTAAGGATCACTATGGGTTGGAATCGACTCAATGGCAGTAAGTTTTTGTTTTGTTTTTTTTTTTTTTTGTTATTCTGGCATAGAATAGACACCATCTCCACGTTTATTTATTTTTTAATCTTACCAAAAACAGAGTGTCCTATTGCACCAAATAGTCTTCGGTTTTGTTCCTAATGGTCCATCACAAATGCCCTTCTGTGTCAGTGCATACAGATCGACATCATCACTGTTATGGTTGGTGAGGAATTCCATGGTGTGGGATGTGCCGTAATTTATTCAACCAATCCCCTATCATGAGCATTTTTCCACACTTATAAACGATGCTGAGAAGAACATTGTGGCACCTTTCTCTAAATATTTCTTGAAGATATTATCCTAGAAGCAGAAGAAAATGAACCACTTTCATGCAATGAAGATTTATTGCATATCTACCAGACACCAGGCACCATGCAGGGAGGGGAAAGAATGAGGTCTTTAAACGCAGGTAGAATCCAGGTCATGGGTGTACAGGTGTTCTGTAAAATTCTTCCAACTTTGCTGTATGTTTGAAATTTTTCATAATACAATACTGGGGAAACAACAGGCACTATCCCTGCCCTCATAGAGCTTACAGTCTAGTGGAGAGGGCAGGGTTGGGAGTGGGTATTAATCAAAAAAATCACTCATACAGGTGTAAAACTAAATTAGGAACAAGTGCTGCAAAGGAGAAGTGCAGGGCTCTGACCTGGCCAGGGAGGGCAGGGTGCTGCAGGATGCCTAGGAGTTCTTTCCCAAAGAGGGGAAGGGAAGCATTCTGGTCAGAGGGAGTAGCCTGGCAAAGGCCTTGTGGTGTGGAGGAGCATAGAGAACACAAGGAGCTAAAAGAAGCGAAGGCAGAGAGTGGGTATGGGGCTAGGCTGGTGAGGGTGGCCGGCAGGTTCTGTGCCCTGCAGAGACTTGTGGAGCCCTGGTAAGATGCTCTACTTTATCCTAAGGGCAGCGAGAAGCCAATGAAAGGTTTTAAGTAAGGAACTAATGGAATCGGTTTGCATTTTGACAACTATCTTGGCTGCAAGTGGAGAATGTGCTGGGAAGTGGCCAGCAAGGAGCACTAGGAAACTAGTTAAGAAATGATGGTGGTCTACGCTAGGGCAGGGGTAGGGATGGAGAAGGAGAGAAGATTCCAGGGCATTTAAGAGGAAAGTCAACAGGCCTCAGCAATAGAATTGGATATGGTACGGGAAGCGAGGAAGAGTTCTACATGATCTCCAGGTTTCTGGCTTGTGTAAAAGGACAGATGTGATTCCTTCGCTAAACTGGGAACTCTGGATGAGGACCAGGTTTGAGGGGGAAGATGAATGTGAGGTGCCCGTGAGACGTCCAAGATGAGGTGCAAGAAGAAGGCCGTTGTCACCCTGGATGCCTAGTCTGGAGATTGTGTTTTATCCTCAGCACCCAGAAGAGCATGTGCCACATATCAGCGGCTTAATAAATATCTGCTGAAGGGGTGACGAAAGCCATGGGTGTGAATGGTATCACTTAGGAAGATATTATTGAGTGAGAAGGGGAGAGAGCCCTAGGCCTTGAGGAACTCCAACGTTGTGAAGATTGCTGATTCCCCTTGCCAAACCGCCTCCAGAGAGGGTGCATGAATTTGACATTCTTGCAGCAATGAATAAGAATAGAGGTGTAATCTTCAACTCTGTGGCTTCAACACCCCCAGTCAGGATGTCTCCAAAGTATCCAGAAGGTAATGTAAAGGTCTTCACAAATAAAAAAGCAAAATCAAAAACAAGATTAACTTTAATTTTTATACAAGCGCGTGGCCTCATCATAGTGTAGAAAGGAGAGGAATGGCAAGGGACAGGGCATGGGGAGGAAGAGGGTACATGCTCCTGGTGTTCTACCAACAACCTAGGGCTCTGACCTGGCCAGGGAGGGCAGGGCGTCTGCAGGATGCATAGGAGTTCTTTCCCAAAGAGGGGAAAGAGGAGCATTCTGGTCAGAGGGAGTAGCTTGGTCTCTTAACTAGTTTCCGCCGGTGCTGCTGCTGTTGTAATCATGGCATAGTCTTCCAGCTTCCATGAAATTAGGTGAAACGTGGATCATAGTTCTAGCTGTTCTTCAAGATTGGAACTATCTGATAATATTAGGGCCAAGTTATGTGTGCACTATCTCCTCCCCACTCTCAAGACCATTTTAGTCATTGCCAACTATGTCTGAAAATCTAATCATATGTTACCGTAAAGAAACATGGGCTGTAAAGTTAAGCTGTCAGGCCAGCAATTCCAGGAAGGTTGAGCAAGACTGGCCCCAGACAGCATTTATCAGACCCACCATCTTTTTCTCGTGACTTCTTAGAGTCATGAGATTTAAGTAACATCAAACAGGTCTCTGCAGAATCCCTCCTATAATGTGCACTGTGGATCTCTAAGATGAGATAAAGAATGTGGGAGTTCTCAAAATACATTTCTCCTTTCTTTCTGTCCCGGGCCTCGACTAACATCTCTTGGAATAATGTTCTTCTATGGAATACCCGGAGTTCCTGGGTGGTGCAAACAGTTAATGTGGCGCTCGGCTGCTAACTGAAAGGTTGAGGTTCGAGCCCACGCGGAGGCTGCTCAGAAGAAAAGCCTGGCTTCTTGTTGTTGTTGTGAGGTGCCATCGAGTCGGTTCCAACTCATAGTGACCCTGTGTACAGCAGAACAAAAACACTGCCCAGTCCTGCGCCATCCTTACAATCATTGTTATGCTTGAGCCCATTGTTGCAGCCACTGTGTGTCAATCCATCTCATTGAGTTTTCCTCTTTTTCGCTGACCTCTACTTTACCAGGCATGATGTCTCCAGGGACTGGTCCCTCCTGATAACATGTTCAAAGAATGTGAGACGTGGTCTCACCATTCTTGCTTCTAAGGAGCATTCTGGTCGTACTTCTTCCAAGACAGATTTGTTCGTTCTTTTGGCAGTCCAAGGCCTGACTATCTACTTCTAAAAGATCACAGCCATTGAAGACCCTATGGAGCACAGTTCTACTGTGACACACGTGGGGTCACCATGACTTAGAGTCAACACAACAGCAACTGGTTACCATTGGGGAAGCGGTGGTCTTGTGTCTGTATTTGTGTTTCCAACCACTTGGTTCTAACAAGCCAAGAGAAGAAGGATGAAGGGTAATTACAGAAGAGTTAGTGAGTAAGACCTAATCTACAACCACTCGGCAAGAGAAGCAGTTGATGTTAAGAGGCATTTTCTCTTCCAGTCTGTAAATCCTGAAATAAATCTCCCAGGGGAATCCAGGTCAAATAAGCATAAAGGGAAACTATAGGCTATTTTGTTAGGTGAGGAGATGGTGGTTCAGTAATAGAATTCTCACCTTCCATGCGGGAGACCTGGGTTTCATTCCTGGCCGGTTGAGCTTCAAGCACAGCCACCACCTGTCTGTCACTGGTGGCTTGTGTGTTGCTATGATGCAGAACAGGTTTCAGTGGAGCGTCTAGACTCAGATGGGCTAGGAAGAAAGGCCTGGAGATCTACTTCTGAAAATAAGCCAGTCAAAGCCCTGCGGATCACAACATGCTTTGTGCATGGGGTCACCAAGAGCTGGGGACTGACCAGGCGGCAGCTAACAACAAAAACGACATTGTTAGATGACATCACGAGCTGCCGAGAAGGTGAGGCCTAGTAGGATTCAAGGGTGTGTTGCTGCTAAGAGTCTGTTGGTTGAAGGATTTGCTATGTGGTCCAGCCAGGAATTTAAGAAACATCTGGTGGTGTCTAAGGAGAAACCTTGAAAGTTAGCTCCACACTCCTCCTGCCTAATTTCTCAGGCTTCTTTCGATAAGGGAAAGAAAGGACTTTTTACATTTTTCTCTGCAAGCGCAGTTGTTTATGTCTATTTCTGCAAGATTTTGTTGCAAATAAAAGGCTTCCTTCTGTACATGAAAAATCACTGTCTCAGATATCCAAGACACACGGTATCTTTAAATGAAAAAAAAAAAGCAAGCTGTAATATAAATGCACAGTGTGCTTCCATTTTTGTATTAAAAAAAAGTATCTGACCAAAAGAAATATTAAGAGGAAAAGACACCTAACTGTTAAGAGTGTTACCCCAGCAGGGTGGGATTACGAACGACTTTTACTTTCATCAAGTCATTCAACAAATATTTATCAAGGGCCTACTATGTGCCACTACTGCAGAACACTGAAGATATAGCAGAGACC